AGTTTAGTGTTGTTTGTAAGTATATTTGACAGTTTTGTAGGAATGAACACGTTTGTAATGTTTGTTAAAAATAAACCTGCTTCTTATGACTTCTGTAACATGTTTTGAATAAAATATTATCAGTAAAAACCTCAAATCATGTCCTTTCTAATCATTAGAACTCTAGAAGAACTTAGCAGAAACATTATGATTCACCTGTACTGTAATGTGGTGGGCATGACCTTCAGTTAACACTGAACCTCAGCTCCTCCTACGTTCATCAGTTTGTGTTGGGCATGTCAGAGAACTGGTTCAAATCACTCAACCTTTCACTGCTGTCATCCACCAATGGTCAGTTTGACAGTTCTCTCCCTCACTGTTAATCTACATGTATATGAGCAGAGGTAAAAACATACATGATGCATAGCAAAGCTGTGGTTTGGACCATCGCCTCACAGCTAGAATAGTTGTAGATTTGCCTTCTGGTCTTTGGGTTTTCATGTTCACCAGCCCCCCATGACCCAGAAGGAAAAGAGGGTAAAACAAGGGTTGGGTGTGTGTGTAAAAGCTGTGATGTTGACAAACTGGTGTCATTGCTTCAGATTTTATGTGTGAAAAGAGCTGAAATGTAATATTGACTAATAACCTGGTTGGTTCAACCAGGGTTTTAGTTTTCATTTGTGCTTATTATGTTTTTAAGCTTTAAGATTTTTGTTTATTTTTTAGAGTAAAATCTTAACTGATTCCTTTTTGTTCCTCCTCCAGGATATCCAGAACTCACCATGGTGAAACTTTTCATTGGCAACCTCACCACCAGTACCACGGTGGAAGAGCTGCGAGAACTCTTCGAGAAGTACGGCACGGTGACGGAATGCGACATCGTCAAGAACTTTGGTTTTGTGCACCTGAGCAGCATGAGCGAGGCGAAGGAGGCCATCAAGAACCTGCACCAGATGGAGCTGCACGGCTCGAACATGAACGTCCTCCTCAGCAAAGAAAAACCCAAGGCCTACACCAAGCTGCACATCACCAACCTGAGTGAAGACGTGTCCGCTGAGCAGCTGCGGGCTCAGTTTGAGGAATTCGGCACCGTGTTGGAGTGTGCTATTGTGAAAAACTATGCCTTTGTTCACATGGAAAGAATGGAGGACGCCAAGGAGGCCATCAGTAAGCTGGACAACAGAGCTTTCAAAGGTGAACTGGGGCAGGAAACACTCGCTGTCTGTTCATTAGAATGTTGGACTTTTGGTTAGAAGTCCTCTGGTCTAGCAGATTGTTACAGACCTAACTAGAAATGACAGGCTTTGCCTTGATTTACTGAAGGTAATCCAATAATTCTGTCAGTGTCTTTTCTAACACCAGTGGCAGTATGAGGTGATGGGACTGAGTCCTAACAGGAACCAGTCACCGTCAGCTGGCCTTCAGATTCTTTGCAGTAATAATCAGTAAGACCCTTGTCGTTGAGCCTTATGGTCTTAAACGTGTTTTTTATTTTTATTTTTCCTACAAGGCAAGCTGATGAAAGTACAGCTGTCCACCAGCCGTCTTCGCACCGCCCCGGGAATGGGAGACCATAAAGGCTGCTTTGTCTGCGGGAAACATGGTCATTGGTCCAAAAACTGTCCGGTTGATAGAGACGGTGATGGTGCCAGAAGTGGAAGCAGCCGGATCCCCCCGCGCGGCATGCCCCCCCCTCAAGCAGCAGATTATATGAGTAACCCTGAGTACAGTTGGCCCAGCTACTCTGGCAGGCCGCCGCTGCCGCCGCCGCCGCGTCCGCCACCGCTGCCGCCTCCTCCTCCCATTCACAGGTTTGGTGGTTACGGCTCAGACCTGCGSTATCGGTATCCCAGTCGAGCACTGGGCGTGTACACGGACAGGTCCCTTTACGACCGTGATCGCCTCTACAGCAGTGTGGACTATTATGAGAAGTACAGAGCTATGCCATATGCTTCCACCTATCTAGAGGCACGCCGCATGTCCCATATCCCTCCTCCTCCTCCTCTTCCTCCTCCACCGCCCGCTGCCTCCCTGTCCAAGCTCTCATCCAGTGCAGCTCCTTATGAGCGCCAGCGTCTGTCTCCACCCTCAGCAGCTGCTGTGTACTACACACAGGAGTACAGTGCCATCGAACAAGCGCCGGCCTCCTCAGCAACCTATTCCTACGAGCGAACAAGGYTGTCACCAGAAGCTGGCTCCAGGAGCGCCTATCCTGTCCTACGGCCTAAGAATCCTTACGCAGCACAGCGCTATGCCCCGTACTGAAGCCACGGTGAGCATCACAACAAACGTGTAGTTCAGATTTATTGGAGTGTTTTTGATCACTGAACTCTGAAGGTCATGTCTCACTGGGCTGTGACTAGTTGTTTTAAGAACTTAGTGAGACTTATGCATTTTTTTTGTGCGAGCTGAAACAGTTTATTTTTCTTTCTAGTCACAGCTCAGAGAGAGATCTAACCTTCAGATTACAGCTCATGGATCATGTTTGTGAAGAAGGGTTGTTGCTGTGTTTGCAGGTCTTCTCCACCAAACCCTGCAGCTGCAGGAGGCCATCCTCAGAAATGTTCAGACTTCCAGGCTCGCTTACTCTGCGGATTTTCAACAAACTCTTTAGCAAAGTTTCTCTTTTTCTACTTTTTATCTAAAACCTTTTGTTTTACTTTTTAAATTTTTTGACATTTGATTGGTTTTTTTTTTTCTTGTATGAATATTTTTCAGGTGAATGAGTGTGGTATAAATGTATGGGTTGCTTGTAATGCAAGAGTCTGATTTTGTTCTTCTATATTTGATGTGATTTGACTTGATGTCTGTAAAGGCAGGTTTGTTAGTTTTGAAGAAAAAAGACTTCAGGTATTTTGTAAAACATCTTAAAAGGATTGTTTCTTCTATGTGTAAATGCGTGAACCCTTAAATGAGCTGTTGGTTGAGAATAAAAATCATTGACATTTTCTCATAAAATAGACAGAAGGAAAATTAAACCAAACTGGGCTTTTCACAGGATTTTTAAGGTCTAAATGAGTATGGAGGGATAAAAGACTGCAGATTATCTGCAAATAATTTAAATTAAAATAACCTGCTCAACCAGCCAGAGGACTTATCAAACTAATTATAGTAAATTAAAAACATCACATCTTCACATTTCATGAATAGATGAGACTCTGCCGATAGAACCATTGAAAAAGTGAAATCAGTATTTTTAAGTCATTAACTATATATATA